AGTCTGTCCCTCTCTTGCTACTGTCTCATCTTCTCGGGAAGATGATTTCATGCATCTCCATTGTCCCGTGGGCGCATTTTCATGATCGCCAGCTTCAATGGTTCATGCTCCGGTACCAGCATTCCCGCCGCAGCAATTCCACGGCTCGGGTACCCCTCCCGACGGAGGTCTGCGGGTCTCTTCGCTGGTGGACCTTGTTGGCTCTGACGAAGGGCTGCGCCTTCTTGGAGCCGCATGTCTCACGATAACAACCGATGCCAGCCTGACCGGATGGGGCGCTCACATGCAGTCCCAAGTTGCTCAGGGCAGTTGGTCACTGACAGATCGCCAGAACAAGATCAACTGGCTCGAACTCCGAGGGATTCGCCTCGCTCTCCTCCAATTTCAGCCATCGGTGGAGGGTCATCATGTGTTGGTCCGGACAGACAATGTGACAACAATGGCACACATGAACCACGAAGGGGGCACTCGCTCGAAACCGCTGATGGACGAGGCATCCCGGTTGCTGTCTTGGGCGGAGTGTCACCTCCTCTCCCTCCGAGCACAACACATCTCCGGGACGACGAACATAACTGCGGACTGGCTGAGCAGAATGCAAATAGACAACTCAGAATGGCGTCTTCACCCGGACATCTTCCGCGAGCTGTCCCACCGCTTCGGGCTTTCCGTCATAGACCTGTTTGCCTGTCGGGGCAACGCCCAGCTCCCTCGGGTCTTTGCTCGCCACCCTTGTCCGCATGCGGAGGGGATTGACGCACTCGCAATTCCCTGGCCTCCGGGGTTGCTATACACTTTTCCCCCAATTCCGCTCATTCCGCGACTCGTCCGCAAGATCCTGCGTGAGAAGGCGGAAGTTCTACTCGTCGCTCCCCACTGGCCACGGAGGGCCTGGTACGTGGACCTGCTGAATCTGTCAGTCGTCCCTCCATGGCGCATTCCAGACGACAGGGTTTCTCTCAGCCAGGGGGTCGTACTGCATCCAGAACCTCAATGGTTGCAGCTGACCACCTGGCGCTTGAGAGGATCCTTCTGAGACAGGACAACATCTCAGGGAAGGCGATCTCTACTATCCAGGCATCACGGCGTCCCTCCACGTGCCGCATCTATAACGCCACCTGGATTTCATTCTGCAATTGGTGCTCCATGGGCCATGTGGACCCTACATCTGCATCTGTCTCTGAGGTGTTAGATTTTCTCCAAGACGGTCTGGACAAAGGACTTGCCCCGAACACGCTCCGTCGACAAGTGGCAGCCTTGTCTACAGTCCTTTCGACCAAAAACGACTTGCCTCTCTCGCACAACGCAAAGATCCGAGGTTTTCTCCGGGGTGCAGCGAACCTGAGACCTCCGGCTGTCCACCGATACCCGACCTGGGACTTGTCCTTGGTCCTTCAAGTACTTACACAGTCTCCTTCGAACCGTTAGGTTCCATCAGCCTACGGTTTCTCACCTTAAAGACTACCTTTTTGGTCGTGATTACCTCAGCCCGACGTGTTTCCGAGCTCGCCGCCCTATCCGTACGAGAGGACCTCTGCACGTTCTACCCTAACCGGGTGGTTCTTCGATTGGACCCATCGTTCCTGCTGAAAGTCAATTCGCTAACACCGTCAACAGGAGTTGGTTCTTCCGGACTTCTGCCCGGACCCGAGACATCCGCAAGAGGCCCAATGGCACACCTTAGATGTCCGCAGGGCCTTGTGCATGTATATTCAGAGGACTCGTCATTTCCGTAAGTCGGAAGCGCTGTTCATCTCTTTTCTGCCCGCGACGATGGGACGGAAGGTCTCCTTGTCCACCATCGGGAGATGACTGAAGGCCTGTATCTCCAAGGCGTACATGCTTCAGAACAATCCAGTTCCCGGCAGGATTTTACCTCATTCTACACGAAGTGCATCCACCACGGCTGCTTGGGCGACTCAGGCCACCATTGCTGACATCTGCAAAGCAGCAACATGGACGTTCATCCGCCACTATAAAGTTGATTCATTTACCTCGGCTGACACCTCGTTCGGCCGGCAGGTTCTGCAATCTGTGTGTTCTGCTCCGGTCACGCATGTGCAGCCTTCCACCCCACCCTAATTAAAACTTGCTTGGGCATGTCCCTCGCTTTTGGATTCTCCAAGCAGTGCGCTGGAGAATGGACGTTGCTTACCTGAACATCCCTTCTAGGCACGCTGCTGGAGAATCCAACCCGCCCGGTCAGGCTGCTGGAACTGGACCTCACACGTCTCCTTAAACTGTTTCTTCGTGAACAAAAACCGAGCCTCTGACGTACAAAGGAGGCGTGTCTACAGAAATTTAAAGACACATACACTCAGTGCTGACTATTGAACTGATGAATAACCCTCGCTTTTGGATTCTCCAGCAGCGCGCCTAAAAGGGACGTTCAGGTAAGCAACGTCCATTTATTGATGTAACAGTAAGCCATTAATTAATTAATTGGTTCGATTTATATGCCGCCCTTCTCCGGAGACTCAGGGCGGCTTACAATGCGTTAAGCAATAGCCTTCATACTTTTTGTATATACCTGCTTAGGTAAATTTACTTTACCATTGCATGAAAACATAGTCACATTATAGTTAAACTTGCCTCTACAATTCTTTTAGCAGTTTTATTGTCTGTACTAAGGCAGAAAATCAGTTTATTTCTGTTCTGAAGGTGAAAAGTAATTTTGATTTTGAACATGTTTTTAGTAATTTTGATTTTTTTAAAAAATACATATACACACAATATAGCAATATCTACCTATGTCTGTCTAAATATAAAACCCCTCTTGGAACTACAGTCATACATCACACATACAAGTAATGCTTTTTTGTTTGATAATCCTTGCATATAGTATGTATGATTGTGTAATCTCTCAAGTCAATTTTTGATTTTCACGGAGATAAATGTAAAGTAAATTTAGCCCTTTTGCAGAAGAAAAAGTTTCCTCTGACTGTGATAGCATGTGCAGAGAATAAATTCATCTGACCCTGAATTTCTGTTAAAATTTTAAATTCAGAGAAATAAGAAATTTAAACACACATTGAATTTTTTTATAGGAAGCAAGTGAATGAGTTTACTCATCGATCTCTCCATACTGTATTGTCCCATTCTTTACCTGTAACCTGCTAGTTTTCATCACAGACTATTTTAATTCTTTCCAGTTCACCTATTTATAACTTTGTCTTTCCTCATTTCAGTAGTTTACCTTCCCAAAGAGATATTCTGCCTAATGTGCCAATTTCAATATTTTTGCTTCATTTTTTTCACATTTCATTTGTCAAAGTGACTTTATCTTATTTCTAAGACCATTGTTCACCTCATAATAAGGGAAGGCAGTTTGTGGGAGTGTCTGGTTCTTTACCTGATATTTTAGGGTTCAAATTTCGAAAAGGGAAGGGTATGATTTTTCAAATCTAAGGAGCTAAGGAACTATATTATAGGTTTCTTAAATGTGTGAATTCAGATTGAAAGTAAATACTAGAATTTCATTGCTGATGCTCTTTGTATGTCATAATTCTAGCATGAATATGCACTGTGAAAGTAATCCTCGACTTACAACATTTAGTGTCTGCTCAAAGTTACAAAGTTGCACTGAAAAAAGTGACTTATTAGTTTTTCAGTTATGACGGTTTCAGCATCCTCATGGTCACATGATCAAAATTCAGATGTTTGGAAATTAACGGTTGTAGTTTCCTGGGATCACGTGAACAGGTTTTGTTACCTTCTCACAAGCAAAGTCAGTGGGGAAGCCAGATTCACTTAACAACTGGGTTATTAACTTAACAACTGCAATGATTCACTTAACCACTGTGGCATTAAAGGTTGTAAAATGGGACAAAACTCACTTAACAAATGTCTCATTTAACAACTTAAATTTTGGGCTCAATTGTGGTCGTAAATTGAGGATTAACCATATAGCTCCAATGGGAGGGGGATCTAGAATGTTACATAAAATGATTTTATTTTCAGTAACATTCTGTCTTCATTTTTTTTTTTAATTATCACTTGTCCTTTGCCTTCATTCAAACATAGATATTCAGTCTATGCAAGGTTTTTGGCAGTACTGGAGATATTGGTTACCTTCTTTTATGATTTTTCCCCCAAATTTCCAGACTGGCCCAGATTTCTGGAATGCCCGGGTGCTTTGCCATACAAGTCCACACCATAGCTGAACCTGTTTAATTTCTGAGGGAGGGGTGCCACCAACTGTGGAGACAAAGAAGGAGAAAAATTCAGAGAGAAGATTCTTCTAGATTTCTTTCATTTTTGAAATCCTCTTAAATAAATGTGCTTGCGTATCCCATTTAGATGAAGAAGAAAACTAAAAAAACACCTGAATATATTTACAAAAAGCTGTCAGAACAATGACAGCTAGTGTGATACTATGGTTAAAGGGTTGGGTAAAAATCAGGAAGACCAAATTGTAAAAGCCTGGGTGATTTAGTGGCAGTTAAGTATCTCTCCACCAAACCTTTTCACAGTTGTTCAAAAGATTGGGCAGAGTGATGACAGAATGATGGCAAGAAATCATCCTCATGCTTTTTTTCCTGGAAAAAAAAGGAAAATAATAGGAAAAATAAGTAATGATGCTTTCACTTTAGTATCTAATCAGTTATTCGATATCTGGCATCATCCAGATGTCCTGAGACTATTCCTCCCAGAGTTTTTCAGCTGACACAGGCATCAGTTTTGGAAGTGATAATCCAGGCTCTTTAGATTGTGGAAGACTGCCCTAATCTGAGAATTTGGGGGGTTTCTTCTCACGTTGGCTCTTTCATAGGAGGAGAAAGAAACTTGATGTTGCATAGCTGCAGAGATTTAGAATGCCAGCCTATGCAAGATTTAAATAACAATTGTATAACAGGGCTTTATTTAGGAAATCTCACATTCATTGTACATGGCAGGGGAAAGTATAACAGGTTTGCTAATATAATCCTGTTTTGATTTTGACAGCCTTTAGTATTTTGTTTTTCTAAGTCTATGGTAACTAAGAATATTTTTCCTATTCACAGAGCAAGCTTTACATGGAAGGATTTAGAAGCCTAAAAGAAGGAGAACCAGTGGAATTTACTTTTAAGAAATCTTCCAAAGGCCTTGAATCAATACGGGTAACAGGTCCAGGTGGGAGTCCCTGTTTAGGAAGTGAGAGACGACCCAAAGGAAAAACAGTACAGAAAAGAAAGCCAAAGGGAGATAGGTAATGGAGTTACTAACTTTTTCTATATATGCACCTTTTCTGAACGTTTTTATTTGTATTTCTTAATTATTTGTGAATAAACGTATGTATCAGAACCAATTGATAGTATGTTGATCTAGATATATGAATTTCTTTGTTTTGGAATTTACATACTTCTGAGTTTTTGATTCATCCCAGTGATGCAAGTTGTACTTGCTTTAGGTGAGCAAAATGAGTTTTTCAGATGTTCAGAAGAATACTTTCCATGATTCTGATTTGTCCGGTATCAGAGTTAAGTCCTTACAGTGCAAATGGTATTTGAGTATTGTATGTGTTTATAAAATTTGGATGCTGCCCTTCAAAGTCAGTTTTCCCATGGTGGCTGTGTACATATATAATATGTCTCATAGCTTCTTTAAATGTTTGCAGAAAAAGAAGAGATCAGAATATAGATAGATAGATAGATAGATAGAGAGAGAGAGAGAGAGAGAGAGAGAGAGAGAGAGAGAGAGAGAGAGAGAGAATATGTATGTTTATATATAGTGTGTGTATCTGAACATTTAATTGAAATTTGGTAATGATTTATACTCTGTATTTGTGGTTCTCTAGTAATATCATAGGGATTTACATGATGCCACAGTGCTATAGATACTGGAAGATCACAACCTGCATATGTCATTAATCTTTCTGCTTTCTTGTTTCAATTTAAAATTGTTTTTTAATGTTACACAACAGGGTAATAACAAATTTTGTGAGTGAAAGTTAGGAACAGAGTTCTTCTGCCCTGGGCTTGCATGAATGAAGAAGGCTTATAGAGAAGGCTAAAATTTAGAAGATGTTGAAGACAGACTGAACTGCAAATGTAGAAAAACAGTGGCATTATAAATTAAACATTCTTTTAAAATAAAAAGAACCAGCAGTGATACTAGACTTATTTGCTTGAGATCTCATGTAGATAATTTGCTAAACCCTTTTACGAGTTTCTATGCCACTTTCCTTTACAATAGAATAACAATATGGTCTCTTGCAATAAGTAACTGTTCCTATAATCTAAAACCAAAAAATGTTTTGGTTTAAGGAAAGAATAATTTCCAAGCTTTCTACCATATAAAAAACACGACTGCAATTAAATTTTTAAACACTTTTAAAATCTTTATTTATTTTTCACATTTATGAACTGCCCATCTCTCTCAAAGAGGGACATTTAAATACTTAGTTCCAATCGTTACACTTTTACACATTTGTTCTTGAGCTCCAGAGCCTTGTCTCCACTGAATAAAAGAAAATATGTTTTGAATTATTATGCTTTACCCTGAATTTGGGCCAATCCAGCAAATACTTCTAATGCATATTCAAAAATGCAAAAGTTTCTTTCATTTTTCTCAAAGCCAATTGACGCAGTGATTGATTGGTTGGAATAGGTTAGAAGAGATTCACTTTTAGGTTCACCATCAGCCATGGAACCTCATTGGGTAATTTTCAGCCAATGAATCTCACCAGCCTGTCCTACTTTGAAAAGATCCCCAGGTGGAATATAAATTTAACTAGCAAAATAAATACATTTGCTGCTGAGCATATTTCCTTCCCATTTTTCCATGCATCTATCCACTTCTCTTTTTATCCTGGTGGTCCAGAACTGTTTGCTGTGCTCCCTGGCATCACTGAAAATATGTATCACAAAACAGAATTAATGGCCATTAAAATAGCACCTGAACTTTAGATGAGAAGGGATTACGAATACTGTATTAGTTTTCTGCCCTGATGGGATATGTGAAATTTTAGGAAAGCATTATAACTAGTAGAGATGCTTAATGTATATGAATTCATCAATGCCACCCATATACTACTAAAATGCTCATTGTCATGACTTTTAACTCAGCAAAATGGTGCATCATATAGCAACAGTTTTTGAACCAAAGTATATTATGGGTTAATTTATAGAATGTGTCCAAAATCTGGGACTTGACTCCCAAATTTGGGACATTGTGGTTGCTTCGTTGCTATTGGTCTGCTGCTGCACTACTGGGTTCCTGCTTTCACCATTTTAACATTTCATGACAGTTTGTCAGCCTGTCTCACAATCCTCACTTCCTTCCTCCACCCAGCAGCAGCCACTTACTTCCCTGCTGGAAAGGGAAGGATGCTCCCTGCCAGATTCCCATAAGGAAACAGTGGGGAAGCCAGTAGGAAATCAGAAGTTGCTCCTGCTTCCCTTTCTTTTTTGCCTGCCATTGGTTATTCTATTTAGGTAAAGAAATATCTCTGAAACAATGACCTAACAGAGCAGGGTTGTCTAGTTCCATATTGTTGCTACAATCACAGCACGGATATATTCTTATAATCACCAGGAATCTAATTTGACACGAGGAAAACTTTCCTGGATAAAGTGATTGGGAACACTCCATCCATTGAAATTGTGACTGTATACAATCTTGCCAGTGTGAGGCACAAAAACCCAGGCAAACTGAGGGCATGTAGAGCTTAACCTGTAAAGCCGTTATAATACAAGAGTCAGAACAAAATCTTTTCAGAATATAGGCTTGAATTTAAAATACCTGCCTTAAATTGCAGTTTAAATCAAGGATCTTAAACTCATTTAAGCCAAGGAAGTGTATAAATTATAAAATTGTTTTTTATGTTTAAGAGTGGAGTGGGGAGATAGTTTGTAAACTTTGTGAAAGAATATAGAAGTGGAAAATCATGAATAAAACTGGGTGTGGATGAAGGTTTCAGACACATGGTGTCCAAAATTTTATTTATATATCCATGGTTGCTGGAATTATGTTTTGATGATCTGTTTCTCTCCCCCCCCCACTTTGTAAATATTTCGTCCCCTTCTATATTTGGTTTGCATGTGACGTTTTGTAAAAGGATTTCTCAAATTGGGACAGTTTTTAGGAAAGTTAAAATAGTCAGCTGTACTACAGAGAAGGTGAGATTTTTTTTACAAGCTTCTAACTTTGTTAAGCTTGCCTGCTCATTGTAGAGAGAAAGGATGTTAGAACAAGTGGGTTGGGAGGAAGAAGAGTATTTTTTCCATTCAGCGTTATTCCTATCTTACCTCTGGAGCAGTGGTGAAATCCAAATTTTTTTACTACTAGTTCTGTGGGCGTGGCTTGGGCATGGTGTGGTGGGCGTGGCAGGGGAAGGATACTGCAAAATCTCCATTCCCTTCCCACTCCAGGGGAAAGGATATTGCAAAATCCCCATTCCCACCATACTCTGGAGCCAACCAGAGATGGTATTTGACGATTGTCCAAACTACTTAAAATTTCTGCTACCGGTTCTCCAGAACCTGCTGGATTTCACCCCTGCTCTAGAGCCTCTTTTCACACTCTGTTTCTGTTGGTCATCTTTGAGGTGAATCAAAGTACTTTGCAGAAAACCAGTGCATAATTCCTGGTTTATTGGTGGGAATTATGCATTTTCTCTTAGATGATCCCTAAAAAGAAAAGGCAACTTTGTCAATGCAAAATATGGGAAATGAGTAAATTGAACCTATCAGTTTATTCCCATTTAGCACCTTCTGCTATTAGGAGCAGTTACACACACCATATTGTATTGTTGAGGTTTTTTGGTTTTAACTTATTTGCAAACTTGTAATCCTAGTTTATTTTCTCCTCACATGCCAGAATAAAAATCTCTAGTTTATAACTTACTTTTTATAGACTCAGTTTCTGGTATGCATATGGCGTTGAATAAGCCATCTGTTAAGCAGACTGAGGAGCAATTATTATGTATCATTATAGAGATACTAATTATACATATTAATGCATGTACTTACTGACTGTAAATCAGTATTCTTGGTAAACAAGACATTTAATTTTAATTTTAATAGTTCTGCAAAGGTGATTTTGACACTTAAAATAGCCACTCAAATTATGGATGTTTTATGGCTTATAGGTAATATTTATATTTATATTATAGGTAATATTTATAAACATGGACCTTGGTATCTCTAATTATTAAACTTTACATTTACATTACATTTAATAATGCAAATGTATACAATATTAATAATAAAATTGACAGTGATCAGATTATCACTACCAACAATCATCACCAACAATCCCTCTTCAAGGGAGATAGGCAGTTTAAAAATTAGATTAGAGAGAGGGAGGGAGAGAGAGAGAAAGAGAGAGAGAGATGGAAGATGCAAAAAGGAAAACAAGGAAAGAAAGGAAATCAACAATACCACATTGATTTACAATTTCAGAAAGATTATCCCTGAGAAAAAGACAATAAGCACCTTCAAGAACAGGTAAAATTGAGCAGATTTCTTAAACAACAACAAAAGCCATAATCCAGTCTTCTGAGAATAAAATACTGATTGTGACATCTTCCTTTAAAAATAATTTTATCAGTGATTTAAACAATGCCTTATATTTGGTCTCCATTAATTTGTATTTTTAAATTTGTTTTGGTTCTCAGTGAATGCACCCCTTTTCAAATATTACACTTATGAAAAAGTTATTTAAATTGAGTTATTTTTAAAAGAGAATCACTTATGTAATTTAAAATAGACTAGATCTGGCTTTAGCTTTGGCTCTTTTTAAAGCCAGTTAATTTCATTCAAGTTGAGAGAGTTTGGAAAACTCTTATGCTTTCATTTCCTTGCTGCCAATTAATGCCCAAGCTGCTTTGCCTTCTAGTGTGATGAATTGCTGCTTAATTGATATGAGAGGGTTAAATTGCTTTGTGCATTGAACGCTTGATTTCATTCTGAAGGAATTTATCTTTTTCCCTTGGTATTAAGAGTTTAAGGAAAAGCATTTTATTAGCATGAGCATCAGATAGGCCACCATTCATCTCTCCTTATCAGCTGCAAAATGCATATTAATATCGATAATTCTGTATTTGGAATTTTTATTTTTCTGATTGCATGTATGGTAAAACAGGCCTTGCCCTAGAATCCAAGGGGGCAAGAAGGGAATTTTTCATTGGGTACAAGGAGCCTTTGGAAGACTGCAAATCCTATGTTCAGCTGTATTTCCTCCTTTGGAGAAAAGAATAGTAGATTA